TCTTCCATGATAAGCAGAAACTAAACAATAATGTGACCACAAAGCCACCATTACAAAAGATTCTGCAAGGGATCCTGCACACAGAAAGTGACACCAACTTAACATGAAAAGGCAGGCAGCACCAAACCACAGGAAAGAAAAAGCAAGACAGTAGAGAGTAACATCAAGTTAGGTACACACAATCAAACCTTCAAACAACTAAGACAACTAAATGGCAGGAATCACCACATACCTATCAGTACTAACACTTAATGTTAATGGACTTAATTCACCCATCAAAAGACACCGTTTGACAAAATGGATTAAAAAAGAAGATCCAACAATTTGTTGCTTACAGGAGACTCATCTCACTGACAGAAATAAGCATATGCTTAGGATGAAAGGCTGGAAGAAGATTTACCAAGCCAATGGCCCCGAAAACAAGCAGGAGTAGCAATACTTATCTCTGACAAAGTAGACTTCAAACCTACATTGATCAAACGAGATAAAGAAGGACATTCCATACTAATAAAAGGGGAAATAGACCAAAAGGAAATAATAATCATCAATCTGTATGCACCCAATGTCAACGCACCCAATTTCATCAAACATACCCTGAAAGACCTAAAAGCATATATAAATGCCAACACAGTGGTTGTGGGAGACTTTAACACCCATTATCATCAATAGATAGGTCATCCAAACAAAAACTCAATAAAGAAATCCAAGATCTAAAATATGCAATAGATCAAATGGACCTAGTAGATGTCTACAGAACATTTCATCCAACTCTACACAATATACATTCTTCTCAGCAGCCCATGGAACCTTCTCCAAAATAGATCATATCCTAGGGCACAAAGCAAGCCTCAGCAAATATAAGAAAATAGAAATAATACCATGCATACTATCTGACCACAATGCAGTAAAAGTAGAACTCAACAACAAAAGTAAAGACAAAAACCATGCAAACAGCTGGAAACTAAATAACTCATTACTTAATGAAGAATGGATCATCGATGCAATAAAAGAGGAAATTAAAAAGTTCCTGGAAGTCAATGAAAATGAAAACACAACCTACCGGAACCTATGGGACACAGCTAAGGCAGTCTTGAGAGGAAAGTTTATAGCCATGAGTGCATATATTAAAAAGACTGAAAGATCCCAAATCAATGACCTAATGATACATCTCAAACTCCTAGAAAAACAAGAACAAGCAAATCCCAAAACAAATAGAAGGAGAGAAATAATAAAAATAAGAGCTGAAATCAATGAAATAGAAACCAAAAAAACCATACAAAGAATTAATGAAACAAAAAGTTGGTTCTTTGAAAAAATAAACAAGATCGATAGACCCTGGCAAACCTGACTAAAATGAGGAGAGAAAAAACCCAAATTAGTAGAATCAGGAATGCAAAAGGGGAGATAACAACAAACACCATGGAAGTCCAGGAAATCATCAGAGACTACTTTGAGAACCTATATTCAAATAAATTTGAAAATCTAAAAGAAATGGACAGATTTCTAGATACATATGATCATCCAAACTGAACCAAGAGGAAATTAATCACCTGAATAGACTATAACACAAAATGAAATTGAAGCAGCAATCAAGAGTCTCCCAAAAAGAAAAGTCCAGGACCTGATGGATTCTCTGCTGAATTCTATCAGACCTTTAAAGAAGAACTGATACCAACCCTCCTTAAACTGTTCCATGAAATAGAAAGGGAAGGAAAACTGCCAAACACATTTTATGAAGCCAGTATTACACTTATCCCAAAACCAGGCAAAGACACCTCCAAAAAGGAGAACTATAGGCCAATCTCCTTAATGAACATTGATGCAAAAATCCTCAACAAAATAATGGCAAACCGAATTCACAACACATCAAAAAGATTATTCACCACACCAAGTAGGCTTCATCCCAGGGATGCAGGGGTGGTTCAACATACGAAAATCAATAAACGTAATAAACCACATTAACAGAAGCAAAGACAAAAACCACTTGATCATCTCAATAGATGCAGAAAAAGCCTTTGATAAGATCCAACATCATTTCATGATAAAAGCTCTAAGAAAACTAGGAATAGAAGGAAAGTTCCTCAACATTATAAAAGCTATATATGACAAACCTACAGCCAGCATTATACTTAACGGAGAAAAACTGAAAACCATTCCTCTAAAATCAGGAACCAGACAAGGATGCCCACTATCTCCACTCCTATTCAACATAGTACTGGAATTCCTAGCCAGAGCAATTAGGCAAGAAGAAGGAATAAAAGGAATACAAATAGGTAAAGAAACTGTCAAAATATCCCTATTTGCAGACGACATGATCCTATACCTTAAAGACCCAAAAAACTCTACTCAGAAGCTTCTAGACATCATCAATAGCTATAGCAAGGTAGCAGGATATAAAATCAACATAGAAAAATCATTAGCATTTCTATACACTAACAATGAGCAAACGGAAAAAGAATGTATGAAAACAATTCCATTTACAATAGCCTCAAAAAAAATCAAATACCTAGGTGTAAACCTAACAAAAGATGTGAAAGACCTCTACAAGGAAAACTATACACTTCTGAAGAAAGAGATTGAGGAAGACTATAGAAAGTGGAGAGATCTCCCATGCTCATGGATTGGTAGAATCAACATAGTAAAAATGTCGATACTCCCAAAAGTAATCTACATGTTTAATGCAATTCCCATCAAAATTCCAATGACATTCATTAAAGAGATTGAAAAATCTACTGTTAAATTTATATGGAAACACAAGAGGCCACGAATAGCCAAGGCAATACTCAGTCAAAAGAACAATGCAGGAGGTATCACAATACCTGACTTCAAACTATATTACAAAGCAATAACAATAAAAACAGCATGGTACTGGCACAAAAACAGACATGAAGACCAGTGGAACAGAATAGAGGACCAGATATGAAGCCACACAACTATAACCAACTTGTCTTTGACAAAGGAGCTAAAAATATACGATGGAGAAATAGCAGCCTCTTCAACAAAAACTGCTGGGAAAACTGGTTAGCAGTCTGCAAAAAACTGAAACTAGATCCATGTATATCACCCTATACCAAGATTAACTCAAAATGGATCAAGGATCTTAATATCAGACCAAACTCTTAAAGTTGATACAGAAAGAGTAGGAAATACTCTGGAGTTAGTAGGTATAGGTAAGAACTTTCTCAATGAAACCCAGCAGCACAGCAACTAAGAGATAGCATAGATAAATGGGACCTCATAAAACTAAAAAGCTTCTGTTCATCAAAAGAAATGGTCTCTAAACTGAAGAGAACACCCACAGAGTGGGAGAAAATATTTGCCAACTACACATCAGACAAAGGACTGATAACCAGAATATATAGGGAACTTAAAAAACTAAATTCTCCCAAAACTAATGAACCAATAAAGAAATGGGCAAGTGAACTAAACAGAACTTTCTCAAAAGAAGAAATTCAAATGGCCAGAAAACACATGAAAAAATGCTCACCATCTCTAGCAATAAAGGAAATGCAAATTAAAACCACGCTAAGATTCCACTTCACCCCTGTTAGAATAGCCATCATCAGCAACACCACCAACAACAGGTGTTGGCGAGGATGCGGGGAAAAAGGAACCCTCTTACACTGTTGGTGGGAATGTAGACTAGTACAACCACTCTGGAAAAAAATTTGGAGGCTACTTAAAAACCTGGATATCGATCTACCATTTGATCCAGCAATACCACTCTTGGGGATATACCCAAAAGACTGCGGCACTATTCACAATAGCCAAGTTATGGAAACAGCCAAGATGCCCCAGCACTGAAGAATGGATTAAGAAAATGTGGTATCTATACACAATGGAATTTTATGCAGCCATGAAGAAGAAAGAAATGTTATCATTCGCTGGTAAATGGATGGAATTGAAGAACATCATTCTGAGTGAGGTTAGCCTGGCCCAAAAGACCAAAAATCATATGTTCTCCCTCATATGTGGACATTAGATCAAGGGCAAACACAACAATGGGATTGGACTTTGAGTACATGATAAAAGCTTTAGCACACAAGGGAGGGGTGAGGATAGGTAAGACACCTAAAAAACTAGCTAGCATTTGTTGCCCTTAATGCAAAGAAACTAAAGCAGATACCTTAAAAGCAACTGAGGGCAATAGGAAAAGGGGACCAGGAACTAGAGAAAAGGTTAGATCAAAAAGAATTAACCTAGAAGGTAACACACACGCACAGGAAATTAATGTGAGTCAACTCCCTGTATAGCTATCCTTATCTTAACCAGCAAAAACCCTTGTTCCTTTCTATTATTGCTTATACTCTCTCTACAACAAAATCAGAAATAAGGGCAAAATAGTTTCTTCTGGGTATTGAGGGGGTAGGGGGTAGAGGGACGGGGTGGAGTGGGTGGTAAGGGAGGGGGTGGGGGCAGGGAGGAGAAATGACCCAAGCCTTGTATGCACATATGAATAAAAATAAAAAATAATAATAATCTTAGGTGTTTGAATCTTCTAAATGAGGACTTCTGGTTTGGATCTTTTGTACAACCTTGAATCTTGAATATTTGAGACTATATGAAACAAAGATGATGAAATGTTAGATTCTGTATAGCAATGGAAGAACAAAGCCTATTTCACTAGTGGGCTAGAAGGTTTATTAAGACTGATTCTAGTTCCTAATGTCAGTACTAGAACTCTCTTGGTTCCTACTGATCTTCTAAGCCTTGTACCTGAGATTTCAATTCATATATTATGCTCTGAGTAGATTTTCTGTATGAATGATTTCTGTCTGCATCTTCACCTATTGTTTTAATTTAAAATATTCAGAATTATTTTGTCCTTTGCTAAGATGAACCCCAACTAGATACTTACATAAATTAATTTAGTTAATTAACAAATACTATCAAATATCTTTGTAATATTTCTAAATATGCTTTGCATATTTAACTTTTGTAAAATATTTAAAGATATAAAACACCTGCTAAATGATGCCTCTGTATTATTTCTTACCAAGGTAATTTGCTAGTGGATATTCCAACACCACCAGAAACTTCAGTTCCAGTAACATTACCTCCACACAACTGCACACACAATGAATTTGTCTGCAGTTCTGATGGCCATTGTATTGAAAAAATTCAGAAATGTGATTTCAGATTTGACTGCCCTGACAAATCAGATGAATCAACCTGTGGTAAGTCAATTCCTAAATTTTGTGTTTAAGAAAGTCAAAATAGGTAAAAAATTCCTAGTTTAATTTCAAACTGTCACAGCCTTTGTCATAAAATGTTCATATGGCTTAGGGGAGTTTTTGTGTATGAGTTATTTATATAAAAATTATAGTAGAATAATCAATATGCATTTTTATATCAAGCTTAATGATAGGTGAGTGTCTTAGATTAATGCTTTGGATTCACATCTATTATCTTCATGAACTGTGCTTGACTCTGAGACCATCATTTACTACCTCTTCTCTGTATGTCCTTTTGTATCCACTGCTCACATTATCAAGTATTTGGGAGAAAGCATTATAATACCCTCAAATTTGATTCATTATTGCAATTTTTCCATTGCTAAAATACACACGTAACAATAAATGCAAAGTCAAATATACACAGTTCATAAGAAGACAAATTTTATACAGAGAGGACCTTTGACATACCCCCTGTCCTGCTAAAACATATTTTTCCATTTATTGGTGCTTGCCAATTTTTCTAAATGGATCCATTTTTTCTAAATGGATCAAAGGCAAATTATTTAATTTTAAAAATAACTTCTTAGTCAAAGATATGGTCTGAGAGGACAAAAACTAATATCTGTCTGAATGGTAAGTACCATTTTCCTGTCCTGTGCTCTTTGTTGAGTAGTATATGAACTTACTGTACTAAATTATTTCTCACATCTTCATAATGGTAAGAGTTAAGAATATGCAGATAACACAGAGAATATGGGAAAACTCTTGCTGGGTGCTAGTGGTGCATGCCTGTAATTCTAACTATTCAGGAGGCAGGGATCAGGAGGATGGCGGTTCAAAGATAATAGGGCAAATAGTTTGGCACGACCATATCTTGAAAAATCCTTCACAAAAATAGGGCTGGTGGAGTGGCTCAAGGTGAAGACCCTGAGTTCAAGCCCCAGTACAGCAAAAACAAAAGCCAAAAAACTCTTATTTATCTTGTACCAGTCTTGTCAAGAGTTTCTAGGAATTAGGAAATTCAGTACATTTCATACTTCTTTTATTGCAGAAAATGGTCCTTAATATACAAACATATCACAATGAACAGTCTTATCTAAACTAAACAATCATAAACCCAAAGTTGGCCCACTCCATGGATGAGTGGTGCTGTAATGAACTCAAGTTAGACAGGGATATATGCAGTGCACTGCAAATAAGGTGATGACAGATGGAAGCTACTGTGGTATTCAGATTTTCTCAGGGGGCAACACTACAAAGATCAAATAAAAGTTCTAATATTTATAAATGTTTACACATAACCTAACTAATTATATCAAATTATATCTTTAGTAAATGCTGAATATCTTCTTAATTCATCTTTGCCATTTTGATAATGTCATTTATTATTAGATTAGATATTTTGCTAAATTCTTTAAATGTCATGAATGAATGTTTATGCTTCAATTATATTTAAATCACAGAGAATATTTTATTTTGCAATTATTAACATTTTATTTGCAAACAAGCTATATTACTTTGCTCCCTTCTCCATCTCTTTTTTAGATGAAATATTATAAATCAGCTTATAACCTACAGATTTATATTTTCTGATTATTTTATAAAATTGTGATAAGCACCCTTAATTGGAGGTCTTCTCTGTTAACAAATTTTTAATGTATGATACATTATTGTAAACTGTAGGTACAATATCATGCAACAGAACCCTACAGCCTATTTTTTCTTAACTGATGATACTTTATGTTTTCTAATTGTATTTTGTAAAGGGTACAATTTCCATCTTTTTTCAAAGAATTTCATTGGATTCTAAATCTCTCTATATATGTATATAGTATACATCATATACATATATACTACTGTATACTATTAATATGTATAATGTATATTAATATTAGAGATTGAAAAAACACACCAGATTGTCAGAAATCTCCTGCCCTTTTGTTCTGAAATTTTGTTTTTGAGAATGGATCTCACTAACTTTGACCTAACTGGCCTCAAACTGTCATGAGCCTGCAGCCTCTGCCTCCCATGTGTAGTTTAGATTATAGCATGCACCATCACACTTGCCTAAAAGGCATTTTGCTCAATGGCATGCTTTATTCCCAGATTTTACATCAACTCGTATACTCAATTTTCTAAATGGTGGAAGTGAGTATACCATCAATGCTAATGTCATTCAAAAGTTGGGGTGTATATCAGGTTTTATAGTATATATAAAAACTCATTGAAATTAGTCTTTTTTTAACTCAAGCAATGCAGTACTTAAGACAGATGTATGCAGACATTCAGAAAGAGAAAGAGAGAGACAGAAGAATTGGAGAGCGATTGGGGGAAGGAGAGAGAGATTTTAGAAAGCATTTTCACACAAAAACATCACTGGACTTATAACTTACAACTTTCTATAATACCAGAATACAATAATCACAAAAGTCTTAAAATCTTTCAAGGAAGCAGGACTAACATAAAAGTTTTTGTAAATCACATTGCATTGAAATTAAGTAGTTTGAAATTTGCATCGACCCAAATTAAGCTGTATATTACTGTGGACAAAGGAGAAAATGCTTATCAGAGCTTGTAGCTTATGCAAGCATTGGCAGTGCTGTGTTAGATGACACAGGTGATGCTCTCATTGCTTCTCTGGAGCTAATAAACATCTTACTTTCTCATAAGAGCACATTGTTAGTATGTGCATTTATTCTCATATTTCACTTACTGCAGAAAATCAAGTACAAAAATCTAGATTTTTGGGACTCTCTCCTAATGTTTATTCAAAACATTTGTCTAATTATTTTAATAACACAAAATTATATTATGGTTTTTTTAAAAACCAAGAATAAGAAAATTCAGTGGCGATATAAATTGTCATCTGTTGATGTATTCATTATGATTAGCTCTGTTTTCTTTGTTTTATTTTTTCCAAGTTGAGGAAGTTTGCACATTTGAAAAAAGAGACTTGTGCAAATGGTACCAGCCAATCCCAACAAATGTACAAGATTCAAACACTTTTAGCTGGGGACTTGGAAATGGGATCAGTATGCATCAAGGGGAAGAGAACCACAGGCCTTCAGTAGATCATACGAAGTAAGTGACTGAATATTTTCAATATATCTCTTGGGAAATGTTTATTAAGTAGCTTCCAAATCAATTCCTGCCCCCTCACCTTATTCTGGGTCAGTGGTATGGTCAGCTGGGTCAGATGAATGTTTAAGCTAAAGAATGAGAGTGCTGAATGTGTTCTCTCATTATTGAAAAAAAGTCAATTAAAAACATAATAAATGCTCTCACAAATGTCATAGATACTAGAAAACAGTATGAGTGAGTAATATCACCACACCTTGACTATATCACTGCAAAATGTTGCTTTAAAAATTATCTATTCATCCCTCTCTACCGCAAATCCCTTCCCTGCTTCTCTTCCTTTCCCTTCTATTGCTCTACAACTTTGTCTTTACCTCCTTTTCAATTTCCCTTTCCCCTCCATTCCTTTTTTACTTCTCCTTTTCTCATTTTTTCTCATTTATTTGTTATACACATATGGACACAAGTAAACTGGTTTTCAGTATAGATGTATGAACATGTTTTTTTCAGTTTGCTGTTCCTAAGTGGTATACTTTCCAGCTAATTACATTTTATTTCAATATTATAAAGTTTCTGGGAAAAAAAGAATGTAGTACCTATGGTGTGAGAAACACTGTTCTAAGTGGAGTTAAGCAAGTAAACAGATGTTCCCTGGTTCCATATTTTATATATATACATACTTTATGTATAAATAACCATTTAATGTATTATATATTTGGTATAGCAACTTTTTATGTGTAAATAAATATTTAATATATATATTTGGTATAGCAACTTTTTATTTACTGGTATTCCTTTTATTTTGTGTATCAAATTTTCCAAATTAATTTTATCATGGAGATTACATGCACAAAGGTTAAAAAGTCAGAGAACTGACAATCTCATAATGACAAACAGCTCTCCTTCCAGTTATTGCAACCCAGTTCTCTGGAGATAATTTATTATGTCCTAAGAGTATGTAATTATTCAGCGACACTTTTCTTACTTTAATTAGGGTCTGGATATAGGTGACTGGACCAGATGTATAAAATATGCAGATTGTAATTTTTTGTGTACACTGAAATTAATAATCACCTCATCTTTTATTTCCCTTAGATGTTTTATGTTTTTAATGTTCTTTGCTCCAATATAATTTTTTTCACAATTGTTCAAGTCTGTAAGATAACTCATCTTTCCTTCCCTCTTTTTTTCTGGAAGGCCTTTCTCTCAAAACCTTTTGAAACTTGTTCCTTGGATTTCCTTTGTATCTGGTGAACAGTTGTTTTTCCTGGCCTGTCTTTTCAGCCACTGTGTGGTGCTGAATCCCTAGATTCCTAAACACCTGTTTCTTGGCAATTCCTTCGCTTCTATATTATCATGCTTTTCTATGCTCTCACTATTCATTTGTTTGGAGTTCTCTTTTATACATGTTTTCCCATTTGATGACTTGGCTCTCCATTAATGATTAAGAGTAAAACTCTTAAAAATTAACTAGACAAGTGAACAGTGCCTATGTGGTCATCTTCACTGCCACCTGATGAGTTCACTATGTTTTGCTAGATGTCTCTATGGTGAGTTTTGAAATATAGATGTTTTCTAATTTTGAATAATCAAATTTGACTTTTTGCAATATTTTCTTCTTTACATTTAGAGAAAAACCTTTCATGCTTTAAAATTGTGTAGTTATTCTATCTATCTTTGTATCTATCTATCTATCATCTATATGTAGTTTAGCTTGTATTAGGGCCTTTGAATAGAGAGCAGAATCTAAGACACTGGAAGAAGTATCAATTTGACCTTGAAAGAAAGATATTCCTTACAATTTAAAAAACAAGGAGAAATAATGTTCTGTGCTGACTTGGGTAAATGTACACATTTTCAAAAGTAGGCAGTATAATATATTAGAGAATTATAATCATATTTTCTAATATTGGTGACTTCTTTTCTGATTTTTCCAGTCTCCATCTTTCCAGGACTCTTCTTTCTCTGGCATTTTACATGGTCTTTTCTATAAAAGTTCCTAATTCATTTTCTCTTTACATTTCCATTCTAGTTATTATTTTAATTGGATATTTTGTTATTTCATTTTGGTATGTATTATCATTTATTTTGGCCTTTTGTCCTCTTCCATGTTTCAATAACTAATATAAAACCAATATTTTCAGTGTTTACTACCTACAAGATCCCATTCTTCCCCTCTCCAACCTGATGGTTTTAGGGAAACAGTATTGCAAATAGCAGAGGGGATCTTCATTTATTTACAGAGACTCTTTTCAATACCTTCATGACTTTCATACCCATCTTCACAGTTAAGGAGCTGGGACCTCGCTCAGCTTTGAAAGGAATTGTTGGTGCATGTGTAGTCCACTCCCTGGTCGCTGTGGTCAAATAACCTTGTACTCAAGGACACTACAATATCAATAGCGTCCATTCATTTTCTTTAGGCTTATTTTCTTCTAATATTTTCTGAGCTTTCATTTGACATTATTTTCCTTTTGTTAAAATGTTTTTAGCTTTACCATATCAAAATTTCATTGAAATATTAGCAATATAGCTGTCCAAAATGTATAGAGTAGCAGGTAGCTGTTTTGTTTTAATCATAAGTTGTCATTTGGAAAGTCGTATTTTGAAATTTCAATATATAAATTTTAATTTATACTAAAGCAAAGGGTAATTTCAGAACATTTATGTGACTTGGGCAATCAAACCACACCTCATTAAAATGTTTACTAGCAAATAAAGAAAAAAGGGAGACTGAACTAGGATCTCACATATAAATGGTGAAAGTATAACCAAAATATGTCAAGATATTAAATAAGTCAATAATTTGCTTGTATCTCTCTCAACCCCTACCATACCCAATAAACTGACAATTCTCTGAGGAATCCCAGGGGCTACTATTTCCCAATTTGTCTAACTTTTAGATGTCTGGCATGTAAGAGGTCTAAATAGTGACTTGTTCAGTGAGTTAGTTGTTGATTAGAAAGGATATATTTATGCCTTATAATTGTGGACTAGATGACATAAAAAATAAATATGTTTTAAATAGTAATACACTGTGGCCAGATAATATTTAACAGATACGCTATCCATGACAGTGAATCTTGGCATAAGAAGTAGACCCTAAGTTTATACCTCCCTTTGTCTCCCTTTTGCCTTCTCTTGGGCTTCATACTCAGCCAAGGAAAGATTGACATTTTTTTTACTTTGTGGTTAAAAAAAAGTTCTTATACATCATCTATCCTATTCTATGTCTTATAGTAGAACTCCAAGCTCAGTTTTCCAAATTTTGTTCTTTTATGTCTAAAGGGAAGATTTGCTAATTTAGAAAATGCTTTTCTCTCTGATATCCATCTCTAGAAATTTATATTTTAAAGTGATTATTTTGAAAACCAAAAAGAATTTATGCCAATTCTTCTTTTCTCTTCATTTTCCATTTTCCAAGCTCTCCTAAGGCTTTGCTTCTGGCTCACTATGGGAAAATCATTTGTAAACAAGTACAAGAGAAAGAAAGTGTATTAATATGGTTCAAGACATTTTCTCATTTTAAACATTTAATGAGGCAATACAAAAAAAATCCCAAAAAGTCATAATATGGTAGATTTGTTGGGAAAATTTTCACTGTGTTGAGTTCTAGACAAAGTCTTAAAATGTATATTTTTCATCATGAAAATGAAACGACATAAGCTAAATAAGGCAAAATTTCAATTGACATTCTACTTTTTTATATTCACACTTTTTGTAGTCTAGTTTGTACATCTGAAGTGAACTCTGAGACATAAAATTAGGGTTGCATCTTTACTTTTTATTTGTTCGTTCATTTTCAGGAGATTAGCACTATTCTGTACAGATAGTACATTCGATGCTTTCATATAGGTCAAGAAAGTCATCTCTTCTTTCAAGGCTAGGACTATATACCACAAAGCTAGTGAATGGCTTCTCCCTCCATCTCGCTCATCAGATGGCATGATGTGTACCGAAGATGGTAATCAAGTTGTAAAGAAATGAGTATTGTTCTCAGTTGTTATCCAAGGGAGTAATAAAATAAAACTCATTCATTCCTTACCATTTGCATGCCATCTTGAGATTGGAGTGGACAAAATTTCCATGTCATTTACATTATGCAATCAAAAACATTTAGTAGAAAAGTGTTTTTCTTATTTTGGAAAAATATACTTTTCCAAAAAAGTATTTTGGAAAAAGAAGCATAATCTGGCTTTAAAAAGAAGCAAAAGGAGTTTGTACTCATTTGTACTCTAGCAACTATTTGGGAAGTTAGCAAAAAAGTCCAGCTGAATTTTTTTAAAATTTTGCTTAATATTGAGTTAAGATATTTTGATCACCTGAACTAGGTGTGGTGACTCAATCCTGTAATCCTAGCTAATTAGAAGGCAGTGATTGGTGGATTGTGGTTCAAGGCTAAACCTGGCAAAAAGTTAATGAGGACCCCATCTCAATAAATAAGCCAGATATGGTGGTATGCACCTGTCATCCCAGCTATGCAGGAGGAGTTATTAGGAGGATTGTGACCCAAGGCTGGCCTCAAGCAAAACACATGAGACCTGATATGAAAAACAACTAAAGCCAAAAAAAAAAAAAAGAAAAAAAAGAGCAGGAGTGTCGCCTGTGGCAGTGGTAAAGTGCCTTCCTAGCAAGTAGGAGAACTTGAGCTCAAATCCCAGTACCACCAAAAAATTATTTGAATCACTTACCACCTAAACTTTTAGTTCATTCCAATTTAAATATACGTACAGTAGTGTGGATTCCTAGGTGCTGTGTAATAATTCTTCCTAGTTCTTCTGACTTTTTTTGACAGCTTGAACTCAGGGCCCCATTCTTGCTAAGTAGGTGCTCTACCACTTGAGTTACTCCATCAGCCCCTTCCAGTTCTTAATTTCTAATGATCTCAGAATGTATACATTGAGCTACATAAATAATCAGCCCAGCTTCTTAGCTCAGGCAAAGTTAGATAATGTATAGGTTCATACCTAAACGTCATATGCACTGTAATGTTAGGATCATTT